CAAAAGACAGAAAATTGAAAATGCAACAGGAAAAGGGAGGGGTGTATGTCCAAATTGGGATACACAAACACCTTTTATTTTATAGCCCATCTAACTCCTCTGTCACCTAACAGGAATATGTAAATCTTACTCAGTAGAATTATTATAAGAATAATCATTGAGTACACATTGAACAGTTGGGAATTATCATTTTGATCATTTACGTAGCCACAGCTCTTGTTGCCTTCTGACACGAACAGCTTTGACAAACAGCTTGACACACTGGGGTACATATCGTCATAGTAATTATCTGAACTGGTTCTCAAGCTTCAAGTACAAAAGCCCCATTTGTGTTGGGCTTCGTCAGCTATCTGATATGTCAAATACAAGCTGTGTGCGCCAAAATCTCAAAAGGCTTAAAAAAAACAGAAAGCATTTCCATCTCTGATAAACCAATTCCAAACTTGTATACTATCAAATAGGATATAATGCACAATTTCACTGGGGTAGCCAGGAGATAAGCGAATATTTTTGTTCAAAAAATTCAATCAACTAGATTCCAGAAGAGGACTGCTTTTATATGATAATCTATTTATATAAAATACACACTTTAGTCTGAGATCTTGCCATTGAGCCTTTACATTCAGTGTCAATTTCCACTTTGAGCTGTCTACTTGTCTGTGCTTACTATTTTTGACACACTATTTTTATAAATTACGTCATCTCATTAGGTTATTTATTGATTTATTACTTCTCAGTCTCTCCCATACTCTCAAATTATCTCCCTCAATGCAATATTTCATTCTATTAGCAATTTATTTTTGAGTCAAAGCACTTCCAAGTGCACATAGCTTCATCGTCAAATTGAAATTATAGACAATTTAATTTCAAAATCTTTTTTGCTTTCACATCGCAACTATAGGCCCTGCAGTCGTGTCAGTGGGCAACTTAACTAAAGGGATACCACGGCAGGGTCTGATGCTGGGCTTTCTTCCTGCCACATCCACTCAGGGGCATTTTTCAGCAGCAATACGAAATGGGAACTTTGATTGTCCTGTTATCTCTCCATGTTTTAGAGGAAATTCTGCAGTGTCTCCATCACTTCCTGCAGGCTAAACATACCATCCCAGCATTAGTTATCACAGCACTGAACAGCTGTGTTCAAAATAGCACCATGAATTCTGGACCTAATGCCTCTCTCAACTGATGGCGTCACTAACAGCCATCCTTAAGTACTATGCTGGAAGCATTAACTTAGACTTTGTGCGCAGGTTTCTGGAGTGAGACTTGGAGCCACAACATCATCAGTTGAATAATAACTTTGGGGCGAGGGGGAGAGGGGGACGGCGAGGGGGAGAGGGGGAGGGCGAGAGGGAGAGGGGGGGGGCGCGGGGGTGCGAGTGGGCGAGATATCCAAAGGGAAACCACGGGCGCGTTAG